GGGGCATTCACTTAATAAGAGACTGCATGCTATGGAGAAAGAGATTGTGGTCAGACTCATGAGAATAATGTATTTCCTGTTTGCAAAATAACATTTAAGCCTGCCTTTTTTTCTGACCAGAGTTTATAGCTATCTTATCTTATGATGCACAGGAAATAAGAACGGTCGTTCTAAAAGATGTGGTTTGAGACAATGCAGCAAATAATATCTCACTCTTCAAAGCTGAGGTATTTCAGCAACTAAGACTAAAGAACTTTTTGGCGTTTCTTCGTGACTGAGAGAAAGATCTGAAAAACAGATTAGATTAGATTAGATTAGATTAGATGATTAGATGGAAGGACTCTCTGGAGAAGAGCCTAATGCTGGGAAAGATTGAGGGCAATAGAAGAAGGGGACAACAGAGAATGAGGTGGCTGGATGGAGTCACTGAAGCAGTAGGCGTGAGCTTAAATAGACTCCAGAAGATGGTAGTGGACAGGAAGGCCTGGAGGAATGTTGTCCATGGGGTCACAATGGATCGGAAACGACTTCGCAACTAACAACAACAGATTAGATAACCTTTATTGTTATTTTTTACTGTGGGCACAATGGCACACATTAAAAATGAAATTTAGTTGCTTGCTCTCAAAGTGTACACATACATAACACACATTTAAAACATACTATATACAACATATGTATAGACCTTCACCCTTACATATAAGTAACATAAATATTAATCACTGTCCATCTTGAATACATAACGGAAGGAGGAAGCTTTAGAGTTCACAAGGTTAATACTGTATGTATGGCACAAAGCTGTGACTGAATCTGGATGTTTTGCTTCGGATACTACGGGACCAAAACAGCTGATTTAGGATGGCTGCTATAATCTGACCAATGTAGGGCTGGCCTGCTAAATGCAATACAGACTTTGTGAGATGTAATATAACATGGTTAAGCAGCCATAGCACATCCCTTGTGTGGTGATCTTCAGTTACATCAGGTTTGCAATTCAAAATATTGCATATAGGACAGGATCTGATTTATTGCATCTTCTCATATAGAAAACAGAAAGAAGCTCTTTGCATTGGATGTCCTGCAGGCTGCTTTTGCTCCAAAGTAACCATACAAAAGTTAATCACAGCTTAGGGGCCCTTGATGATACCAGTGACACAGATCACTGCAGACCTTGGTGCTTTCAAAAAAAGCCTGCATTGCTGTGCCATGCACAAAACGTAAAGGTTCAATGGTAAAAAAAACCCCTCTTGGATTCTTACAAAAATCTTGTAATAATCCAAGAGGGACTAAGTATCAAGAGCTATTTGAATAGAATTCTTCTGAGTTTATATCTTTGTGATGATCAAAGGCCTGGAGGCTAAAACATAGGAAGAACGGTTGCGGGACTTGGCTTTGGCTAGTCTAAAGAAAAGAAGAAATAGGGAGACATGATAACAGTGTTCCAGTATCTGAGGGGCTGCCACAAGGCGGAGGGGGTCAGGTTGTTCACCAGAGCACAAGAGGGAAAGACAAGAAAAATGGTTGGAAACTGATCAAAGAGAGAAGCAACCTGGAATTAAGGAGAAATTTCCCGATAGTGAGGACAATCAACCAGTGGAACAGCTTGTCTCCAGAAATCGTGGGCGCTCCATCACTGGAGATCTTTAAGATGAGCCTGGACAATCCTCTGTCTGAGATGGTGTACGTTCTCCTGCTTAAGCAGGGGGCTGGACTAGAAGACCTCCAAGATTCTATTCTATTCTATTCTATTCTATTCTATTCTATTCTATTCTATTCTATTCTATTCTATTCTATTCTATTCTATTCTCTCCTATGATTTTATAAATAAAATTCTAAGAGTTACCAGCCATTGCCTCTAAAGATTTGTGTGGCTGGAACAATATATATTGTTCAGAATTCTTGTTCTTCACCTACTCACATCTACCACTTGCAGGATCTATGATCAAAAGGCAGTTCAGCAGAATTCGTCCCCATTATCTTCCTCTCTGTTGTTCTGTTTTCTTTAATCTCTCTCAGCTCTCTGCTGCTTTGATTTTAACTATTTTGTGTTTCTGTGTGTGTGTTGTACATTTGTTATGATAAAACCAGGTTATTTGAGAGTCACTTATCTCCCAGAGTTTCAGCCTCGCCACCACAGAACAGAACAGAATAATAGAATTGGAAGGGACTTTGAAGGTCTTCTAGTCCAACCCTCTGCTCAGGCAGGAAACCCTATACCAGGGTTGTCAAATTCAATTTCATTGAGGGCTGCATCAGCATTGCGGTTACCCTTGGGGGCTGGGGGTGTGAGGCCAGGGTGGGTGCGGCCTACTGGGTGGGCATGGATGGAGTGGGTGTGGCCTACTGGGTGGGCATGGCCAGCTCTATATCGCGTCAAAGGTGCCTGTGGGGCCTGGGCAGGAGTGGGACAGATCTGAGGGTCTCTGGCAGAAGGGGGTGGGACCGGGGCAAGAGCCAAGGCACGGTCCATTTCTTCATTCCTCACAAAGGGTGACACCTCCCCAGTATGCACCCAGGGGGTGGGGCTGACGTGACAGGGGCTGGTTCCTCGCTGTTTCCAGACGGCTTTGTGGAGCTAAGACTGAAAGCGTTTCAGCATAGATGGCCATCACAAAATTGTACATTGGCTCCCAGCCAGCCTGGGCCAGAGCCAAGGCAGCGGGGCCATTCCCTCACTGTTTCCAGGATGGCTTCGCGGGCCACATGAAACCACTTCGTGGGCCGCATCCAGTCCCCGGGCCTTGTGTTTGACATGTCTGCACTAGTGAAATAAATACCCTGGTAGCTAGTTTATCTTAATTTCTTAATTAATCATTTCCTTATTATTCAATATTATTAATAACATTTCTTGTTTAAATTAATAATTTTACTGCTTAATATTATTTTATCATGTAATAATAATAATAATAATAATAATAATAATAATAATAATAATAATAATAATAATAATAATAATGACATTGACAGACTTTATCTACCAAGGCAAATAGGTGGGCGTGGAATGCTACAAGTACATCAGATGGTTGAAGGAGAAAAAATGGCTTTGGAAGAATATCTGAAGAACAATGATGAAGATGCACTGAAATTAGTATATCAGGAAGGCTTACTGACTACTGGAGAGACCAAACTGGCCTACAAGAAAGACCAAATAAAGAACAGAATAGAGCAGCAATGACGAACCTTTTAGCGACTGAGTGCCCAAACTGCAAGCTAAAAACCATGCATCATCGGGTGTCAGTGGGTGTGGCCCATTGGATGAGCGTGGCCCATTGGATGGGCGTGGCTACGGTAGTAATGGCAGACTGGATGGGACTAAAACGTTCAATCAATCAATTCCAACTTTGCAAGCTCTTTTTTTCCATACAAGAAGTTGAAATTGACTGATTGAAACTTTTTTTTTTTTTTGCACATGGCAACGGAGTGAAAAGGTTTTATAAAACCCAGCTGAAGGCTTAGGACTGAGGTGATGGTGTGCATACCCACAGAGAGGGCTCTGAATGCCACCTCCGGCACCTGTGCCATAGGTTCGCCACCACTGCCCTACATCACCAATCCTATGACTTCTTCGGGGGTTCTAGTCAGCCTATAACTGTGGAGGAGTGCACAATGATTGGCCATAGATTCTTCCAAGTGGGGTCAGATACACACTTAGAGAAGACACGAATAAGTTACTCCCAGACTTGGGGGAGGGGGGAGAAAGGGAGAGAGCTCTGACGTCGCGTTTCCACACCTAGACAACTTTTAAGACGTGCGGACTGAGGAATTCTGAGAGTTGAAACTCGTAAATTGACCAAATTTCGAAACATAACTCGAGGGGGAGTCGCTTCTCTTGGAGAAAGCAAGCAAAAGCGGCCGTCTCCACGTTTCTTGTTCTAGAGCAGTGTTTCCCAAACTTGACAATTTTAAGGCATGAGGACTTCAACGCTGTGGAATTCTGGGCGTTGAAGTCCTCATGCCTTAAAATTGTCAAGTTTGGGAAACACTGTTCTAGAGATCCGTTATTTGTTTGCGGACAGAGCTTCGCGCTTTTCTTAAAGAAAGTCGATACAGTGATTTGATTGGATGGGGCGGCAATGGCTACAAGATAAAGGCAGGTGGTTTTGCAATTTCACCGACTTGGAAGGCCTCTAGCGTCCCCTTTTGGTGGCAAGCCCGGCGGGCTGTCATTTAGGCTCAGTGCTGCAAAACGCGAGGAGAGGAAAGAAACCTTCAGGCGCTGCACTCTCCGGTGGGCAAGGGGGCTCTGGGTCTACCAGGGATGGGGAAGCATCCCTCGCGGTCCTCGAAAAGCCAGCCTCGCTCTTGGCGCCGGAGGGAGCTGCTGCCTGGCTTCTCCGCGTTCCTAATGCTGCGCTCCATTATGTGGCGGCGCTTTTTATGGGCAGGTCTGAACAAGAGCGGCGGGGGGGGGGGGGAACGAGTAAGTTCCTTCACCGAGCAGTACTTTCCTGCTAGCCGCCTTAACTACTGTGCGACCTGTTGCAGGAAACCTGGAGCAAAAAGAGGGGGGGGGCGGCGCGAGACTCGCCGCTGGGCAATTGGAAGGAAAGGAGGGGCAGATTACCTTTTTTTAGCCCGAACAGCGGCCAGATTTTGAAACCTAACAAGACTGAACGGGCTGCCTGGATTGGGTCTAGAACCAGGGGTTCTCAACCTTGGCAACTTTAAGACTTGTGGACTTCAACTCCCAGAATTCCTCAGCCAGCAAAGCTGGCTGAGGAATTCTGGGAGTTAAAGTCCACAAGTCTTAAAGTTGCCAAGGTTGAGAACCCCTGGTCTAGACCTCCTTGGCCATACCTATAAGAGACAGATAATACAGGGTTGCCTGCCAGTGATCTGGCAGAGAGACAGCAGTACCACTTGGAATAAATACAAGTCGCCCTTCCCTCTGTCGGCACCGGTGGCAAAGAATTGACCCCCTTCGTGAACGATCTCGGGCGTACGAGGGAACTGACCTTGTGGAGGTACTGTGGGGACCCAAAAAAGCTGTAAAAGGGATTCTCAGACAAACGTAAGGCGGGTGGTGATTTGGGCTCTGTGAATCTGAGTCTCTCGACCGAGGAATTCTGGGAGTTGAAGTCCACCCGTCTTTTAAGTGGAACAAAGTTGCGGAATCAACTTTGCTTCTACGTTGTTTTTTTTTTTTTTTGTGCGGTTGGCCTGGGGGTTTGCCTTGCGGACAAAGGCGTCCGCTTTTTGTAATTGGCCACAGCAATTTGATTGGATGGGGCGGCGGCGTTGGAAACAACAACAAAAATATCGCGGGAGGCTGTTTCTCCAGTATGCCCGGACTCCACTTTGTGCTTTTGCTGGCGAGCCCGGCCGGCTGTTATTTAGGCTCAATGCTGCAAAACGGCGGTAGAGGCAAAAAACACTCGGGCGCTGCACGCTGAGGTGGAGTTCTGGGTCTGTCTAGGGCTGGGAAGGTTCCTTCGGTTGTCGGAAGGCCAGCCCCGATCATAGCGCGAAGGAATTTCTTCGCGTTTTTTCTGCTGTGCCCTGCAAGATGACCAAGCATTTTTATGCACAGACCGGAGCAAGGGAGCGGTAAATAAATTTACCTGCCGATTTTTTCCCCCTCTCGCTCCCGTTGTTCACCGCTTTGTGATCTGCTGCTGGCGACACGCGAGGAGTAAAAAAGCAGCAACTGCGGAGGGCTGTCAAATTTGGGGTAAAGCGCAACAGAAAAGAAGGTAGGAGTAATCAATGGAGATTCTCAGTCATCCAGGTCACGGTTGTCCCAATGGTGCTTTTTCACCAGGCAACTGGACTTTATTGTTTTTCTTTGAAGACGTTTCGCTTCTCATCCAAAAAGCTTCTTCTGCTCTGGATGGTGGGGAATGTAAGAATTTCATTTGTCTATTTCCAATCTACAACACAGTCCTTTCAACACTTCCAAGAAGGCGCCACAGCCATTTGCATTAATCAGGTGATCCCGAGGGCACAAATAAACTTCGAGGAGTCCTCAACAACTCTAAAAGAATGTAAATGACCAGCTGTCTGCAAGGAATATAAATCCTTCCATTCCCCACCATCTAATCAGAGCTGAAGAAACTTATTGGATGAGAAGCGGAAAGTCTTCAAAGAAAAACAAGAAAGTCCAGTTGCCTTGTGAAAACACACCTTTGGGACAAAGGGAGGGGTGGGTTACTATGGCAGCATAAACAGTTGCAAGATGTGGAGGCCAGCGTGGGTTGCTTCTCTCTAGGGACTGGGAGTAAATACTGTGGAAGAGGTGGGATAATTATGCAAGTGTGGGTGGGCTCCTGGCTCAGCCTAACAAGGCTGAATGGGCTGCCTGGACAGTAGTTCGACCTACCAGATTTTTGCATTACAGATAATCCTCAGCTTAGACCAGGGGTAGGCAACCTGGCTCTTTTATGACTGGTGGACTTCAATTCCCAGAATTCCTGAGCCAGCATGGCTCAGCTTGGAAACCTCCCTTTCCCTTCAGCGTGGCTGGCTCAGGAATTCTGGGAGTTGAAGTCCACAAGTCATAAAAGAGCCAAGGTTGCCTACCCCTGCCTTAGACCATAATTGAGCCCAAAATTTATGTTGCTAAGTGAAACCTTTGTTAAGTGAGTTTTGCCCCATTTTACAATTTTTCTTGCCACAGTTCTTAAGTGAGTCACTGCAGTTGTTAGTAACACGGTTGTTAAATGAATTTGGCTTCTCCATTGACTTTGCTTCTCAGAAGGTCGCAAAGGGGATCAATCACATCACTGTGATTGACTCCCTTTGCGACACTGCAATCGTCATAAATGTGAGTCAGTTGCCAAATGTCTGAATTTTGATCATGTGACCATGGAGATACATGCCAGGCTCCTTTGCCTAAGGGTTGTTTTCCAACAACAGCTTCACATTGGAGAGACTAGAATTTGTGCAGGGGTCCACTGTGTTTGCAGGCTTTATTTTACAAGCAGGGTATGCACTAGTTTGGGACACACGTGTGCTAAGAATATTGTGGTGGAATGATTAGTAGAACTAGTTTAGTACATTTTGGTGAGTACACTAGGTGTGTTCTGTAGTCCTGTGATAAAATTCCTGCTGTAGGCAGCGCAAAGAAGCACATCGCTTTGTGACTCTGAGGGCATTGTGACTCTGAGGGCATTGTGACTCTGAGGATTCCTACTGCGGTGGAGAAAAAATAGCTTTCCTTTAAACCAGTGATGGCGAATCTTTTAGAGACTGAGTGCCCAAACTGCAACCCAAACCCCACTTATGCATCCTTGAGTGCCGGATGGGTGTGACCCATTGGCTGGGTGTAGCCCATTGGCTGAGTGTGACCAATTGGGTAGGTATGGTTGCGGTGGTAATGGCAGACTGGGTGGGACTAAAAAGTTCAATCAATCAATTCCAACTCTGCAAGATCTCCCCCCCCCAAGAAGTTGAAATTGACTGACTGAACCTTTTTTTTTTTTTTTTTTGCACATGGCGGCAGAGGCCTAAAGTGAAAATGTTTTATAAAACCCAGCTGAAGACCTAGGACTGGGGCGATAGCGTGTGCCCACAGAGAAGGCTCTGAGTGCCACCACTGGCACCCAATCCAAAGATTCACCACCACGGCTTTAAACTCTTTTGTAATAATTTTATTGAATGTTAGAGTTAAGAAATAAAACCAAACTAAAAAATAAATAAAAAGGAAGTGAGAAGTGCAGAGAAGGAAGGAAAGATGAAAATATAGAAAGAAATGACTTCCCTCTCCATAACAAGTATAAACAGTTTTAGTAAATTATCACTTTCTCTAATGTTTCAACCAAAGATCTCTTCTTCCCGTATCTCATCTCTTTTCTATAAACAAATCTTTAAAACCTCTTCACTCAATCAGGTTAGCAAAAGTACATTAAAGGCTACCAAAGATAACATCTAACCTTAATCAAATAAACCAACTTTTACATTCCTTTTTCTTTTAACAGTCTTGATGCTTAATCCCTCCAAATAATGTCATAGAAATTGATTTCTTGTTTTATTTTTATGGGACCTTGATGTCTCTTCTACCAAGCACTACTCTGGTTAATCCTAAAAGGCAGAAGCTGTCCCATCACGTCCATATGTTCATTGTCAGTACTAAGGCTGATTCTGATACCTGTTGTTATTAGTTGGTCTTTACAATTAATTTTTCTATTAAATCTTAAGTATATCAACAATATTGTATATAGGAATGAGTGATACCAATTTCTTTTCTTTCCATGCAGTCTGAATCCTGATTCCACCCTCCCCATCAGCTTGGAAGATGCCAGAAGAAATTAAAGGTGAGGCATTTCAGACTTTTCTTCCACCTAGCTGAGAATTACAGAAAGCAAGAGCAAAGCCCCGGGGCACTGATGAAATCAGAGGAAAACTCTTATTGATTATATGGCTAAAAACATTGATTTCTATTCTAAGCAGAGGAATCACAATAAGTAAGTTTCAATCTGGGGATTGACTGGATTCAAGTTAGAAATCAGGAGAACTGGTAAGAGAATTGGTTACTAGCAGGATTGTTTTCTTCAGTCATCCTTGCTTCTCATTGTAAGAGATGTATTGGAAGCAAATATTCTAAATCTGATGAACCAGGAAGAACATTTGAGAGGATTCATCCAGATGATCTTCTAAGCTTTAAGAGGCTCCCTAAATCAGAGAGTGTTAGTTTCAAATAGAATTTAGATAGATAGATAGATAGATAGATAGATAGATAGATAGATAGATAGATAGATAGATATTCTTGTGCAAAAGCAAGGAAGTCTTCCAATGTGTACCAAAAAACCCCAATGGAAATACTCCAGATAGAGGCCCGTTTTTATCCTATGACATAGGCACTGCCCCTAATATAATCACCTGAAATCTTACAAGATGATCAACTCTCATGAGATTTCTGGCAGATCCTTTGAATTCTGCCTGGGAACATTCAGTAGTGCAAGATTTGGGGATAGGGTTCAACTACTTAAAATATTTCTTTAAATTGTTTTGACTGAGAAAGATAAGGAGCCCTGGTTGGGTATTGGGGACAGCGTCTTCCCAAGAGCAAAACTAGAGCACAATACACTGTGTATTGTCATTCTTGGGTTTTTCTGCCTTCCTTTAGGGCAGGACTAGGCAACCTTGGCTCTTTTATGACTCGTGGACTTCAACTCCCAGAATTCCTGAGCCAGCCATGCTGAGGGGAAAGGGAAAGGTTTCCAAGCTGAGCCATGCTGGCTCAGGAATTCTGGGAGTTGAAGTCCACGAGTCATAAAAGAGCCAAGGTTGCCTAGCCCTGCTTTAGGGGCAGAAGGAGATTCTGGGTGTTGTTATCATTTGACTCCTGAAGCAACAACTGTATCTTCCCTGTATTGTCTTCTGCCTTCCAGTACTGGTAGAAGGAGTTTCTCGATACTGTGATTGTTTGACTCCTGAGATGACAAGTGCATCTTCCCCTGGAAGCTCTGATGCAAAGAGTGCAAGAAATGCTGATCAAAACAAAGGTGAACGCCTGCCTGGGGCCCTTTGTTACCTTTGAGGGTGAATAATAAAACAAAGTGGATGGAACTGGGGCACACCTAAGTAAAAGGATTCTTTATCCCCCCTCCCTGGTTTTATGGAGAAGACGTTGGGTCTGTGCCTTCTTTCGAAAAGGAGAACCTCACAAAACTGACTTTCAGGCCAACACTGTACCTTTGATGGTTTTCTCACATCACCTTGGTGGGTGTTTCCCATTTCCAGGGCAGAAACCCTGCCAGTTGACTTTTGGTTATTAGGGTTGGCGAGAGAGGTCCAGATCATCCATCTGAGGGGGAAGGAATCGATGTTGATACCTTTGTCTCAAAAGAACAAGATCAGGTTAATTTTTGTAATGCTGTTGCAGAAGATGAGGAAGTCGAGGTGGCACACTCTGTTTTTCACTGTGCTGTCCTATATTTGAACTACGTTGTAATATCACTTTTAGGACTTGAATATGATACTCTCCCGAGTGTTGTCAGCTTTTTCTTCTAGTAGGGCTCTTGGACATTTTAAGAGCAGTGGGATTGAGATTGGCTTTGTCTCCCACAAATGCAAGAAGGATTTGGCTGTTAGCCACTCCAGAGCCACTTCATATGTTCTGTGGGGAAAGAAACAGAAAAAAAACCACACCAAAGCTGTGCTTCTGGGGTTCCTTGGAAGCACTTTTGACTGCCTTTTGTTTTTCCTTGTGAAAAAAGGGGAGGAAGATGAGGGATATTCAAGGTTTATCAGGGTTTATCCATGGTGGGGTCAGCAGTTGCAAGTCGGATCACAAAAATCTAAATATGCTATAGTCTGACTACAACCCTGAGTGGTTTATAAATCAGTGAAAACATTAACAAAAATTTGAACAATCATAATAAAACCATGAACTTCATCTCCTAATATTTTCTTGCCTGTTTTTCAGCTCTCATACCTAAGTGCATTTCAGACAAACTATTCACTGTAGGAGCGGTTGTTGTAATTGCAGCGTTGACCATTATTATAATTTCATTGGCTGGTAAGTAAGGATTTAACTTTCTCCGTTGTTTTAGTGTTATTGTTTAAATCAAGATCATCCCATACATTAATGATTACATTTAGGCACAGAATGATTTGGAAGGAACTAGCAGCAAGTAGGAGTGGTGAGTGTCAAATAAGTCAAAACGATATTTGGGCCAGTGCAACTGAATCCCAATTGAATCCCAGACTATTTATAAATATGTCATATGTTGCCTGCATATCAAAAAAAAGAGGCAAGAATGGTATTGCACTGCTGTGATTGCCATCTGGATTTTTTTGACACAAATGCTGCACGAAAAGAAGATTGCTATGCTATGGCAAGTCAACACAGATATAGCAGTAGCAGATTATATACTGCTTCACAGTGCTTATATGCCACTTCATAGTGCTTTACAGCCCTCTTTAAACAGAAGGCTGAGTCAACCTTGAGCCGGTCAGGATCGAACTCCTGGCAGTTGGCAGAATCAACCTGCAATACTGCATTCTAACCACTGCGCCACCATGGCTCTCGGGAAAGGAAGAAGAAAGCACATTCCAACGTAAATAAATTTGCATTTGATTTAATGACTTTTCATTCCTGACCATTTCTCTTGTTTTATTGCACAACCTAGGACTACAATTGAGCCTCAAATTTATGTTCCTAAGTGAGACATTTGTTAAATGAGTTTTGTCCCATTTTACGATCTTTCTTGTCACTGCAGTGGTTAAGTCAATAACATGGTTGTTACCATGTTATTGACTTGGCTTGTCAGAAGGATCACAGAAGCTGATCATGTGACCCTGGGATGCTGCAACCATCTTAAATATGAACCAGTTGCCAAGCATCCAAATTTTGATCACATGACCAAGGGAATGCTACAATGGTTGCAAGTGGGAAAAATTCACCAGAGGACACACACTGTCTTAATTCACTCTAGAAGTTGATGTGAAGGAATTAATGATTTTATTGTTCTGGAACCTGAATCAAGATGCTTTGTAATCCAAGGTCAGACAGATAACAAAGATGATTGTAAAGCAAATATTTATTCAGGAATACTTGGTCAGAACTCACGTTTCTGTAGTTTCATCTGGATGTTGCATATTTGTTCATCTTTATAGGTAAAATCATTAATTCCTTCACATCAACATTTAGCGTGAATTAAGACCGTGTGTGTCCTCCAGTGATCCCATGCTTACCTCAGACAAAGACGTTCCCAAACTGGCATGTAGCCAGGATATCCTGTGATGAACTTAGTAGCCCCTCCTACTGACCTGTTAACATGGGATTTACTGAATAGCTAAACTACATTACCCATAAGCCATCTCTTAAGAGGACAGCACTTAACCCTATAAATGCCAAACATTCTAACATACAGTTCTCATCTAACTAGCTGATCCAGAACATGTCTCATTTTACGATCTTTCTTGTCACTGCAGTGGTTAAGTCAGTAACATGTTAAGTGACTCTAGCTTCCCCACTGACTTGGCTTGTCAGAAGGATCACAGAAGCTGAGCATGTGACCCTAGGATGCTGCAACCGTCTTAAATATGAACCAGTTGCCAAGCATCCAAATTTTGATCACATGACCAAGGGAATGCTACAATGGTCGCAAGTGGGGAAAATGGTCATAAGTCGCTTTTTCAGTGCTGTTGTAACTTTGAATGGTCACTAAATGAATTTTTGTAAGTCGAGGGCTACCTCTATAAGGTTTTTGCTGTAGGTGGGTGAGTGGGTGGCCTTTGTGTCAATTGTGACTGCTAACAACTGCCTGGACTAGTCCCTGTCATTTTGGGGGCAAGATTTTGGAAGTGGTTTGTCCCTGCCTCCTCCTCCTCCTCCTTAGGCCTGAGAGAGAGATGGTGACTGGCCCAAGGTCACTCAACCGGGGTTTGTGTCTAACACAGGACTAGAACACACAACAATTTAAGTGAGGTAGCTTAATATTAACTATTCAAACCTTGTTGTCAGACCTCTAGTTGATTGTGAGTTCTATAATTTGTCCCATTTTGCTTTATTTCTAGTTAAAAAGACAGAAACATGTCCACTTTGTGGTCCCCTTGAAAGTGTTGCCTGTCCAGATTCATGGATTAGCTACAGTGGAAAATGTCTCTATATATCAAAAGAAGAAAAGAATTGGTCTCTCAGTTTAAAGTCCTGTTCCTCATTTAATGCATCCTTGGCTGTGATTGATACTCAGAAGGAACTGGTAAGGAATAAGTAGTCACCCTGATTAATTGGATAATTGTCCTGGCGTTCACAAATATAAAAACAGGCATATTTATTAATATAATAATAATGTATGTACTACTGAAATTCTAATTGTGTTTATCTGTTTGTTCTCTCATGTTAGCCCAAGCAGTTTTTGAATCAAGATCCCTAAAATCCGGGAACTTAAAGAATGCATAAAAATCCAGGATCCATTACACCTCTGGCATTGAAATTTGTATAAAATTTACAATGTAAAATTTGCTGAATTTATTCACAAAGTTCTATCCTTTGCAGCATTCCTGTGGTTATGTGATCGTGATTTCCAATGCTCCCTGCCAGCTTCACACAAGCTAATTCAATGGGGAGGCCAGCAGGAAGTTGGAAGTCACTCCCACTATTGTTGTTACATATCAGTGATGGCAAACCTTTTAGACACCGAGTGCCCCAAAAACCCCCTGCCCGTCCCCACTCTGCCCCCGCTCCACCACCCCTGCTCCACCCTCCACCCTGCCCACCTGCAGGGCCATCCACTGCCTCCATGGCCTGCCGCAGCAGATCGCCCAGGCGGCCCTGCAGCACCATGGTGGCCATGCCCTCTGCCCATGCCCGGCAGCATCATCTGCACATGATGGGGCACAAGAGTGGAGTCTTCTCCCCGTTGCCTGGCTGCCATGTCCTTGGCTGTGCTGCTCTCCTCCGGGAGTCTGCTGGTGAGGGGGCCGTGGGGAGAGGCGGGGCTGGGGCAACAGCACGTGTGCCCATATATATATGTTTTCTGAGGTTTTCGCGGGTGTTTGTATGTAGGTCTTTGGTTATTCGGGTTTTCTCCCGCGTAAAATTGGAAGTGTCTTGGCGATGTTTCGACAAAAGTCCCATTCGTCATCTTCAGGCTGGTGTTTTCAGCTTCGTGCTCCTCGAAACACGAAGCTGAAAACACCAGCCTGAAGATGACGAATGGGACTTCGTCAAAACGTCGCCAAGACACTTCCAATTTTACCCGGGAGAAAACCCGAATAACCAAAGACCTATGTATATATATGTATATACCTGAGTGTAATTAAAGATAATATATGTATATATATGTATATGTATGTATGTATGTATGTATGTATATGTATATACCATAAAACAATCCGAACACCAGGATAGTATTAAAACAAAACTGTTTAATGTAAAAGCTAAGCCTTTCGTCGGTTAACACTACCGACATCATCAGAGCGTAATGCAAGATTGCTGGGAGTCCTTCTTATGCTGCAGGGCGGCTCTGCACTCGGCTCCTTGACCTAGTTACCGGTCCGTCCGTTCTCTCTGCCTGGTTTCTTAAACAGCCCAAGTCTCTTACTATGTTAAAGCCCTCCGAGGTTGCCGTTTCCTTTTTCCTGGATCCAACCACTCTGTCTGCTAGCGTGAGTTAACTGTTTCTGCTCACTTACTCTCATGTCTGTCGTCCTTTACAGTTCTATTTTGGGATCTGTCTGACTTTCCTTGACTGGATTGTGCTTGTATACATTTGGGGGAGGGGGGGGGTGTATTAAGTGGATCCGGACACCTATCAGCGCAATCCCTGGTGGCTGCATTCCTGCATGTGTTCTTGTATGTGTGTATATAATGGGACCATCCAGCACTGGGGTAAAAGAATGTTCAGCCTAACACATAATGTTCATACTTGTTGCATCAGACTGCACTACCTTTCTTTAAATAAAAAGATATTGAAGATTTTGAATGTTGAAATTGAAGAAGACTGCTGAGAATACCATGGATACTTAAGAAATGTGGCATTGAACAAATTCACCCAGAGTTCTTTGTTGAGGTACAAATCACTAGACCGAAATTAAAATACTTTGGGCACACTGTGTGAAGACCTAGCTCTCTGGAGGAGACCATCGGGAAGTTCTCAACTTACAACCAACCTTTAGCATCTAAAAGGATGACCCAGTGAACCACAGAGCTGTCTTAATTATTGGCTTGCCCCACAGTGATCCAGATGTTTAGACTGGATTTGGAACTTTTTTTCACCTATCGAGTTCTTCCCAAGAACCTGGAACCACAGGAGGCTACGATCATAAATATGAGGACTGGTTGAAAATTACTTTTTTTCACTGCCTTTGTAACTTCAAACAGTTGCTTAAGGTTGGTTGTAAGTTGAGAACTTCCCAATAGTCTCCTCCGGAGAGCTAGGTCTTCACACAGTGTGTCCAAAGCATTTTAATTTCAGTCTAGTCCAGTGGTGACGAACCTATGGCATGGGTGCCAGAGGTGGCACTTGGAGCCCTCTCTGTGGGCACCAGTACCATTGCCCCAGCCTTGCCTCCCCCCACGACCCCCTCCTCTCCAGCAACCCCCCTGAAGGAGAATCGCCCGAGCGTGGCCCACGCAGAGCAGCGCAGCCAAGGACATGGCAGCCAGGCAGCATAGACAAGACTCTGCACTCACACCCCATCATGCAGTTGATGCTGCAGGGCGCGGGCAGAGGGTGTGGCCGCCACAGCGCTGCTGGGCTGCCTGGGTGATCTGCGGCAGGTCCTGGAGACGGTGAGTGGTCCTGTGGGTAGGCGGGGCAGGGATGGGGGGCAGAGTGGGGGCAAGGTGGGGGGTGGAGCAGGGGCGGGACCAGTTTTTGGGCACTCGGTCTCTAAAAGGTTCGCCATCACTGATCTAGTCATTTGTACCTCAACAAAGAGCTCTGGGTGAATTTGTTCTATGACACATCCCTTAAGTATCCATGGTATTCACAGGAGTCTTCTTCAATTTCAACATTCAAAATCTTCAGTATCTTTTTAGATCCTGCTTCTTCAACATCCATCCTTCACAGAGGGAAATCCATTGTCTGCACAGTTCTGAATCTTTGTAAGTGGCAGACGTGTACACAGCATATTGATATTTTTTCCAGAGTTTTCATGGCTGTCCTACCAATTGCTAGTCTGCAGTGCATTTCTTAATTGATGGTTCCTTTGTTGCTAGTAGATCCTTAAAGGCAGAAATTGTTGATCACTTCAGTATCTTCATTGTCAGTTCTAAGGCTGTTGGTTCTACCTGTTGTCGTAAGTTTGGTCTTCTTTATGTAGCATTTAATTTTAGTCCAATTATTTCATGATGTATTTTGGCATTCAGTAGACAGTAAAAAATAACTGACACTTTCTTTCCCCAATTAGTATTTTAAATGAGGATTTTACTAAACATTATCTCTCTTCTCCTAGGATTTTTGGGTGGATATTTTCCATTCCTCTCATTACTGGTTTGGTCTCTCAAGAGAAGTTAACCAGATCTGGAAATGGTCCAATGGCACAGAGTTTAAAAATCAGTAAGTAAGTTTTTATTTCTTTGCTTATAGGATTTATGGAGCTATTTAACTATTCAAAGTATTTACATACATCCTACTTCAGTTTGAATGGTTGAACCAATCATAAAAATCAAGATAATTTTTACCTAAGGTTCTCTCTCCAAAAAATAAGGCACAGAAAGGGGAGGAAAAGAGAAGAAAATTGCTCAGGCAATAGTGCATCCATCTGATGGTCCCTGCACTGCTGACCAGCTGTGATGGACTAGATCAGGGGTAGGCAACCTTGGCTCTTTTATGACTCATGGACTTCAACTCCCAGAATTCCTGAGACAACATGGCTCAGCTTGGAAACCTCTCCCTTTCCCCTCAGCATGGCTGCCTCAGGAATTCTGGGAGTTGAAGTCTACGAGTCATAAAAGAGCCAATGTTGCCTACCCCTGGACTAGATGTTCAGGATGGCTGAGATGATATACTACCTCCAAGAGCAGATGGTTCTCCTACCAATTTTGATATTTTTGTAGCAAGGAGGAACAGCCCAGTTGGCCATAACATACTGTGTATGTTGGTGTATCAACCACCCCTGGTCTGATTCAAATCCTTAATTCAAAATGTTGGTTTAGCTCCCTTTAGAAAAGGATACTTATTTGAAAAGTAATCAGATCAAATCAGGACATTTGGATTGGGTAAAGGGATCTTATGCTCCCTCAGCATTTAATAGCTCAGATTATTATTATTCATCTAATTTATATGCTGCCAATTTTTCTATCCAAAGTTGTTAGTTGTGAAGTCGTGTCTGACCCATCGCGACTCCATGGACAACGTTCCTCCAGGCCTTCCTGTCCTCTACCATCTTCTGGAGTCCATTTAAGCTCACGCCTACTGCTTCAGTGACTCCATCCAGCCACCTCATTCTCTGTCATCTCCTTCTTCTATTGCCCTCAATCTTTCCCAGCATTAGGCTCTTCTCCAGTGAATCCTTCCTTCTCATTAAGTGGCCAAAATACTTGAGTTTCAACTTCAGGATCTGGCCTTCTAAAGAGCAGTCAGGGTTGATTTCCTCTAGGACTGACTGGTTTGATCGCCTTGCAGTCCAAGGGATTCACAGGAGTCTTCTCCAGCACCATAGTTCAAAGGCCTCAATTCTTTAGCGCTCAGCCTTTCTTATGGTCCAACTTTCACAGCCATACATTGCAACTGGGAAAACCATGGCCTTGACTATACGCACTTTTGTTGGCAGGGTGATGTCTCTGCTTTTTAGTATGCTGCCTAGATTTGCCATAGCTTTTCTCCCCAGGAGCAAGCGTCTTTTAATTTCTTGGCTGCAGTCCCCTTCTGCGGTGATCTTGGAGCCCAGGAAGATAAAATCTGTCACTACCTCCATTTCTTCCCCATCTATTTGCCAGGAATTGAGAGGGGCCAGATGCCATGATCTTGGTTGTCTTTATGTTGAGTTTCAAGCCAGCCTTTGCACTCTCCCTATCCAAAGTGACTCAGGGCAAATACAGGTAGTCCTCCACTTAAAACAGTTTGTTTAGTGACCATTCAAAGTTACAACCACACTGAAAAAAGCAACTTATGACCATTGCAGCCTCCCTGTGGTCATCTGATCAAAATATAGATGCAACTGATTCATATTTATCATGGTTGCAGTGCGCCGGGGTGACGTGAACAGCTTTTGCATCCTTCTGAAAAGCAAAGTCAACAGGGAAGCCACATTCACTCAACAACCATGTTACTAACTTAACGACTGCAATGATTCACTTAACAAGTATGGCCAGAAAGGTCGTAAAATGGGGCAAAACTCACTTAACGTTATACATTTTGGGCTCAATTGTTGTAAGTCGGGGACTTCCCACATATGGAAACCAAGTATCGTAGCCAAACGCCTATTATTTAGGAAGTGCTCACAGCTTGTAAAATTCGGATTTAAAATGTACAGAGAGTTCTGAGGACAATTTCTGGGAGGCATTTGAAGTGTCAGGAAGATGATTTGACTAGTCGTCTCTCAGGTTCTAGATTCCACTGAGGATATTCTGAAATCTCTTCTCATGACAGAAGTTAGAAATAGCTGCCATGTTTCGACTACTGTGTCATTTAGGCTTACCAAGCGAGACTTTTAGTCCTGTGAGCAGTTGAGAATATGACCACCACATGCTGTGCAGTTGTTCCAAGAATGAAAAATGCCTTCAAATGAATACTTTCTGCTTTAGGTCTGTGTGCGTGCGTGTGTGTGTGTATTATTTATACTCTAGCTCAGTGGTTCTCAACCTTTTTAATGCCCCAACCGGTTGTAAGTCAAGGACTAAACCGGTCATAAGTCAAGGACTAAACCGGTCATAAGTCGAGGACTACCCAACCGGTCGTAGGTCGAGGACTTTCCCTGCCCGGGAGCGCCACGCATGCGTGGTGCCGCCCCCTGCGCCGGCCGAGGTGTAGCTGGCAAGCGGCAGAGATGGAGCAGGCCGACCACCAGCTGGGCCACCGGAAAAGGGGAAAAAAATGGCGGACAGCCTTGCTTGGCGACCCCCGTGAAATGGTCGATCGACCCCAAATGGGGTCGCGACCCATAGGTTGAGAACCGCTGCTCTAGCTTTTCTCAAGTCATGTGCCCTCCAGACTCCAAATCTGTTGGACAAAACTCCTGTAAACTCCAGACTTCCTAATTAAGCTGATCCAGTGCATCCTGGAGGGACAGTGTTGGCTGATGTTCCCTGTGCTCTAAATCTGGGAATCTTCCTGCAAGGATCACTTTTGTTAATTTCTGCCCATGCAGATAGTGATTCCTTGTTCTTTTTCAGGTTTCCAGTACGAGGAGGCGGCTTCTGTGCATATCTAAATGGAAAAGGGGTCAGTAGTACCATATGCTCCATGGAGAAACGTTTTCTCTGCAGCCAGCCAGAGCGTTGCAGCAAGGCTGGAAGAGAAGAGAGCTCATGGCCTGGAGAAATATGAGGGGGAGGGGAAAGACAGAGCAACATGGCCATCGAGTGACAGCATTTCAGTGAGCGCTTAACTTTTTATCTAAGCTTTTAGCAATTTTCGCTTTAGAATTAAGAACAGCCAGTCGACGGCTGCCAATGTTGGGAGGCAGCAAAGCTATAAGACAAAAACAAAAACAAAAAAACAAAGAGAAAAACAAACCTGAAATGCCACAAAGAAAAAATTCCAAGCATTCTGAACATTCTAAAGTGGCAGCAATCTCTAGACCAGTGGTGGTGAACCTATGGCATGCGTGCCAGAGGCGGCACTTGGAGGCCTCTCTGTGGGCACACGTGCTGTTCCCCAGCCTCGCCTCCCCCCACGACCCCCTCCTCACCAGCAGCCCCCCTGGAGGAGAGTCACCCCCAAGAGTGGCCCACACGGAGCAGTGCAGACAAGGACATGGCAGCCAGGCAGCGTAGACAAGACTCTGCCTTCATGCCCCATCGCGCATGGTTGATATTGTGGGGCCCGGGCAGAGGGTGTGGCCGCCATGGTACTGCTGGGCTGCCTGAGTGATCTGTGGCAGGCCGTGGAGGCAGTGAGTGACCCTGCGGGCAGGTGGGGTGGGGGAGGAGCGGGGGCGGGGCAGGGGGTGGAGCGGAGGCGGGGCCAGTTTTGGGGCACTTGGTCTCTAAAAGGTTCACCATCACTGCTCTAGACCAGGGCTTTTCAACCAGTGGTACAGGTACCACCTGTGGTACATTGGCAACTGGCAGGTGGTATGTGACCATCCTAGAAAAGTGGTAGTGGGGGAGGGGAATGAGCTGAACCGGTGGCAGCACCGCACAAGTCTGAGCAAGAAATGGCTGGAGCTGCAGGGCTGTCAGGGCTCCATGGAAGCGCCAGGATCAGAGCTTCTTCGGGACTGTCAGGGCTCAGTGGAAGTGCCAGGATCAGCGCCAGACTCCAACTGGAGCTCGGCACTGATCCTGGCGCTTCTGCTGAGCCCAGAAGAAACGCCGATCAGCTGGAATGTTGCAGCATTTCCAGGGTCTTATGATTTACATTCAGATGCTTGGCAACTGATTCATACTTATGACGGTCACTGTCCCAGGGTCATGTGAATGACCAAAACCTGCTGCAACCACC